GCCCCCGCCGCCCCCGCCGCGCTCACCACCCCCGCCGGCGGCCGCCGGGGTCCCCGCCCGCGCGCACGGCGCAGGCAAGAGCCGCAAGTACGGCGTCATCAGCACAAATGAGGAGGGGCATGGGGGTGGTGGAGGTTGTTGGTTGGGGTAAAAATTGCCCTACTTTGTGCGGGTCGGACGGGGGCTTTTTTGTCACCTCTCAGGGTCGGGCTGATCTACGCACGCAGATCCCCTTCCCTCGCCGCAAGCTGGAGGCTGCCACCCCCGACCCCCCTCTTCTCCCTTCTCCTCGGTGAGCGCCGCCGCCGTCGCCACCGTCCGCTCCTCCGGATAATTGGCGCCTGTAATGCGATATGGCCAAGCCGGGCGAACAACAACAACTTTTAGCCGTCAAGTTTTGCATCCTTGGAGATGAAGGACGATGTGGTGGGGAGGAGGAGGAGTCGTGGGATGCGGTCTTGAGTGCGGGGGCCTGGCGAAAGAGAGAGATATGGAGGGTGGGAGAGAGAGAGAGAGAAGGGAGGAGAGAGAGAGAGAGAGAGGATGGGGCTGCGACTCCTTGCGGGCTGCGGAGGGTACTAGCGCTGGGGTACAAGCCACACGCACACGCACACACACACACACACACACACACACAGTCGGGGGTTTACGCGCACAATGGATGGAATGCGCCGGACCTCCCAATAAGCCCCTTCCCTGGCTGGGGGTCACCCTGGGTGTCTTACCTGGGCCGGGAGCGATAAGGTGCTCCTGTCGACTATAATGCACCGCTGTGAGGGCCGGAGTGGGCGGGAGCGGGTGGGAGCGGGCGGTCGCTCGCTCGCTATGGGTCTGGTTGAGGAGATAATGTGCTAGCACGCACAAGTATACTTGCGGAAGGAGAGTAATAATGCTGTTGTATTCCATGAACCTTCTCGTCAGTTCGGACGATGATGCTGATTCTTCATTAGAGTAGGACGAGAATAAGAGGTCACATATATGTATAGGTCTCGCTAAAGAGGACGTGCGAGGTCGGGTGCTAGTTTTCGAAATGACGGCGGTCCCGGGATGGGGGTGGGGGCGAGGTACGGGGCGCAGGGCCAAAGGCACGCCAGCAATCTCAGCGACGGACCGAGCAGCTGGGGTGGCTGGCCCTAGGAATGCCCGCCCAACCCGACACTGTTCAAAATGTTCGTCGTAATTTTAAGACACTCTTGTGTTGTTAATTTGACAGCAATGCGCTAATTCGTTTCACACTCTAATTGGGAAATTACAATTTTGTACCTGCGTGAGGTAACTGTACAGTCAGGGGAAGGCCCTGTCTCGAATCGACGTCGAATATTCGACGTCGATTATATACAATACGAAATTTCTTTGCAATTTAGTACCAGGAACACTTTAAAACCCATTAGTTGAGTTAAGCCGTGTCATAGGACACTTCTCGAGTAACATCGAAATTTCGTCGACAACTTCGTCTCAGGACCAACGATAACTTCTCGAGCAGTCGACGTCGATTCGAGGTCGATTCGAACACCCATTTCTCACTGGGTTGTGTAATCCAACTTTTCTGCTGCCATTTCCCAATTTGTCTCCCCTATGCCCTGTTTCTCCTTAGCGGCACCTAACGCGTCGCTTACGTTTCACCGTCTCTCTGTTGCGCAGCCCATGCTGGCGCAGACGCGGCGCAGCGCGGGGCCGGGCGGCGCGGCCGAGGGCGAGACGAGCACCCACAGCGGCCCGGCCGAGTACTACCGCCTGCGCTCCTTCTCCATCACGCCCAGCGGCATCTTCAACCTCGGCGACTCGTTCCGCTCGCGGCGCTCGCGCTCCAACGGCTCGGTCGCCTCCACCACCTCCTCCAACAGCGACGACCCCCGGGAGGGGCGCGAACGCCTGCCCAGGTCAGTATGGTAAAAAGCCCGAGGGCGGTGTGCGACATTCGAACACTTTAAAGTGCGTGAGAAAACGTCGCACACAAAAAAGGGTGACCATATTTGTGGCATGCATAGTGCATAACTAGTGCGCGTGACAGCAATTGCATTCACAATAAAAAGTCAGAAAAAGAGGGTACGCTTGCCCTAAACAGAAAAATGTGTGACAACCATGTCACACACTCGCGTTGCGTTACATGGCATGCACATTTCGGCACGCACTTTGAAGTGTTTGAATGCCACACACTTCTGTTTGTAGAGTAGCCGGGCCGAGCCGAGCGGGCCTTGGCGGGCCCCTGTGGAGTCCACGGTAGGCCAGCCCGCCGGGCACGCCCGGGGAGCGTCTTGCCTACCCTCAGTGTCACAGGCGCCCTGCCACCGCCCAACTTATACCTCAGCCTCAGAAGAGACGACGTGACCCGTTTTAATAAGAAATCTCGTAAATTTCAGGAGGGGAAAAAAAGGAAGATAAGTGTGAAACGCTGAAAGTTACGGCTGGGCTAAAGACATTATAGTTTCATCTATGATAATAAAAACCATATGCAGTGTCTGGTCTCTGCTGTCGGCCGAGACAGGACTCGGCGTGACGAGGCAGACGTGGCGGGAGAGGCCTAAGGGGGGAGAACAAAAAAGTGGTGCCCCAGTTCTGGCCGCGCACTACAATATCCTAAAAGAGGTGCTGCTTTTCGTTCTGCCTCGGGCGCGTCGGTTTTATGTCGAAAAAAGAGGTAAAAAGAAGAAGAAGAAACAAACGAAACGTGTAACACGCCGGAGTGCGTTTTTCCCTGCTAATTCCACGGAATGCAGCGCCGCCCGGACGTTTTCCGCAGGGAAGTAGGTCAAGGCCTAAAGTCCTGTTGTCTTGTTCCACAGCGGCGCGTCCGTGGCCAGCGTGGACGGCGTGGGGCCGGCGGGGTCCGCGGCGGGCGCCCAGGACGCCCCCAGGGTGCCCTGCTTCAAAGTGGCCATGCTCGGGGCGTCGGGCGTCGGCAAGACCACGCTCACCTACCAGTTCACCACGTCCGAATACATCTGCGCGTACGACACCTCGCTGGGTAAGTTTGCCTGTGTGTGTTTGTGTGTGTGTGTGTGTGTGTTTGTGTGTGTGAGAGAGAGAGTGTGTATGTGACGGGCGAGGAGCGACAGCTTCCCGCCCTGCACGCTTTCTTTATTCATCGCGACCACAAATATTTCCCCACCTGCCCCCTTAGTCGGGTCTTGTTTTGTGAAAATCCAAATGCAAGAAGCATTTCATGTAACAATTGAGTTAACACCGGTTCCCCCCTATTTCGACCCCGCTGAATCCGAAAATGCCGTTTGCCAACCCGAAATTTCAACCGGAAGTGAGATATTCAAGATGGCGTCCAAAATAGCGCCAAATTTAAGTGTTTTTTTGGTTTTGGTCATATTTGAGCGTTCCAAGTGTCAATCCCTATGTTTTTTGGGGCGTAGATCACGATTGTACACTTAAAAAGTACTTTCGTGCAATAAAAGTTCATTAAATGCCAAAATTTTAACCAAAATGCACCGAAATTCATATTTTTGGGTCTTGATGCGTTTTACATCGATTCCTATGTTTTCGGGGGTGCTGAACACGATTGTGCATTTTAAAATTAATTTGGACCATAAAATTGTAATAAAATGACCATATTTAACCAAAATACACAAAAATTTACAAATGCTGTTGGCTGTTTTTAATAAGTTATATGGGGGACCTTCGAACCATAGTGGGTTGGATCCAAACCAAGTGGACCCCTGCTCACTGGAAAAACGAATGTGACATAAAATGCGTGCGGGCGGGCTTGCCTACCGTCGCTCGCCATGACGCCTTTACGGCCCTTACGCACGTAAGAATCCGGTACAGCATAAGCATTAAAAAATGACGGCGCGGATCACCCAAAACGGGAGGAAGTAAAGCTAGATCAAGAGTTAAACTGCACAATGGTCCTATCGGAAATAATTAAAATTTCGCCTAGAAAATATTCAACAACTCAAATTTGACAAAATAATGCATCAATTGGTAGCGTGTGACACGTACACTTGTCTTTCCAGTGCTGACACAAACAGTGTAAAAGAGCCTCTACAACGCTCTACAACTAAGGCTGGCCCTCTCGAATTAGATGTACCCCATCACGCCACTATGGTTTTCCACTTTCCCCAGCTTGAGATTAATTTCCCGCCCACGACGCTGCTGTGTCCCAAAGTAAAGAAAGAATGCCCGAACGCCTCTCAAACGTGTACATTTCAGTTCTTGAAAAGCTTCCAAGATACCAGGAATATTGCGATTAAAAACTGGTCACACGGTAAAAACAATGTCTCAATTTTTTGAGGAAAAAGGGAAAACTTTGAGGACCTCCCATGTTTAAGGAAGAGTCCTCCGATATCGCCTCAGATTTTGAGGAAGCTTCCCAAAAAATGAGGAAAAATCCCACCAATTTTTGAGGAGACTTCCTCGAAATCTGAGGAAGTTTCGTCAAACCAGGGGAGTTCCTCAAATAAGTTTTCCCTTTTCCCTCCAAAAATGAGACATTGTTTTTACCGTGCAACGCCATGGGCCTATAATAGCCCACCTCCGTGACCTGAGTCAACTCCAATTAATTAAGGAGTCGTTAAAGAAGAGAGTCGAAATGACTACAAGGTACATTGGTGAGGCTTTTAAAGATCATCGAAGCGTTTAGTGCCCATTAAGCAAATTTAATGCATCACCAATGTTTTACCCCTTCTGTGAATTTCTACACTGGAAAAACAAAGGTGCTATATAGCACCCTTTTTAGGGTGCTCCTGAGTTTTTAGGGGTGCTACTGCACTAGTGCCTGTGTAGGGGCACGATTTGTGCCCATCTTTGGGGGGCAGTAGCACCTTTCTAGAGGCACTATTTCTTTAAAGGCATTAGATAGCACCTTTGTTTTTCCAGTGTACGACGGGCGCGCATTTAACGCGTGCGTGTATTCAACTTGCAGTAGCACAGCTAGTTTAGCAGTGCATTCAAGCTGTCTACCAATCGTACGGGGCTCTTTACCT